CATTTATTTTACAATTCATTATTTAAGCACTACATGTAGTTGCTGCTGCAAGCTGGTTGGTACCTGTTGAGGTGACAATCCTTGAACTGAGCACACAGGGCATGAAAATGGTCATCAAGCTGAAGAAAAAGCTAAACAATCGCTGTTTGCGTCTGGGAAACCTGAGGTGTGGGAGCTTGGTTTGTATTGCTGGTAGGAAGTTACAATAATTCCCAGTACACTTCCAGCTGGAGCCAATTATAAACGGAAGTTTTTGGTGCTCCTCTCTGCTATTTGCAGATTATGTGGTGATTTTGGCTTCATCAGGCAGTGACCTCCAGCTCACACTGTGTCAGATGCAGCTGAGTGTGAAACAGTGGGAATGAGAATCAGCACTTCCAAGTTTGAGGCCATAGTTCTGAGCAGGGAAAGGGTGGAGCAGCCACTCCAGGCTGGAATTGTCCCAAGTGGAGTAGTTTAAGTCAAGTCTTGTTCAGAAGTAAGGGAAGATTGGAATGAGACATTTACAGGATCACTGTAGATTCACTGGTTAATTCCTGCCCTCACCTGTGACCACAAGCTTTGACAAGACAAAACCTCTTTGGAAAAGCTGCAGGTGGTTGAAAAAGTCTTCAGACTACTCACATGTTACACTTATTTGGCTACACATCCTCCCCGTTAACATCCACTGTTAGAGCCCTGTGTGGACGCGTACTGAAATCCGTAAATTTAACATCCATGCAATTCCAGCTTTTGTTGTTACTCAACTTTAAGGAGGTCCTTAAAGTTGAGTAACAACTTATGCATATCACTAGTGTGTTGCTGCAGTAGGGTTAACTACACAGAGGGTTAATTTGATTGTTTAACAACTTGTGTTTTTCTTATTCAGAAGCCGAAGACCTAAAGTGGAAGTGATTGGGTGCCTTGGTGTTGGGATCTTCCATGTCCTCGTCTTCATCGGGCTTCCCATTTGCACACTGGTAAACCACAGCTCTGAATCAATGAACAGTATATGTGCAGCTGAATTAATGGCTCCTTTAGTTTGATGTCTGTTTTAAATTGATGTCAATAAAGTAAGAGCGCTGTTGTCACTCCCTACTCTTAAGGGATTCATTGAACGATCGAGAAGCTCAAACTCTGTCATGATATCCTTCTGTCCCACATTATCAAGTGGAAATTGGGCCTTGCATCTTATTTTTAATGAATTTATCATTGTTAGTGGGCTGTGTCCAGACTGCTTTTAAACATGCGGTAGTGCACCCCGTGCTTAAAAACAGTAACCTCGATCAGAAAGA